CTATAAGCATGGGATGCCTTCCTGTTGAATCAGGTGGGAGGAAAGGCTCTTCCTGAGATGCTCTTGTCCCAGGCACCTTTCAGACCATACCAAGCTCTCACCCAACGAGGGTGGTGATACCTCCCCAACATCCTTTCAAGCTGGAGGCTGCACTAGGCCTCTGCTGGATGCCTGGAGGTGGCTCTTGTCAATTCACACCTCCCTTCCTGCTGCTGCCCGGCTCGTCAGGAGGCTGCTTGAAGGCCGGGCTCTGGCGACTCATCAAGCAAGTGTTCCTGCTGGCTCAGGGCTGCTTCAATCAGGGAGACGCCACGGGAGGCATTATTAGCTGCACCCGCACTGGGGCACACAGAGTAGCCAGGAGGAGCCCCTCTCTGGAGGGTCACGAGGCGGCTCTGTGCATGCATCTGTGTGTAAAGAGCCGCATCTGTATTTCGCTCTGGCTTGGAGGGCTTGTATGTTTGGCTCTGAGCTTGGGTGGCAGTCAGCTCCTGGCCCATGCTCGTCACTTATCTGTGTCTGTGGCAGTGGAGGAAGATACATGGAGATTGGGACCTCTAAAATCAAAGCATGGTCCTTCTCCCTAGCTGGGAACCTGGCCTGTCTCCTCTGCTCTTCTCCTAGGAGAACATGGAGCCACATGGGCCACAACATAGCTGACCGGGAAAGGGCGGTCAGTGGCAGAGGGCCTGCGGCCCAGCTAGGTAACCTTGAAAGTCCCTTTCGGCCTGAAGAGGACGCACAGCCTGAAGGGTACAAATGTGAGCTTGTGAGCTTTGGAGTCTAGCTTTCCAGGCTTGAATTCTGGGGCTGCCATTTGCTGACCATGTGACCTTGGGCATACTGCTTAACCTCTCTCTGCCTTGCCTTGCCAATCTGTAAATGGGGAGAATGATTAAAGAGTAAGTGAAAATCAAATGAAATAAGATGCATGATGCATAAAGTGTTTAGCAGAGTATGCAGTTTGTACTGCCAAATGTCAGCTATTTGTGGGATCTTTGTATGTGCAAGGGTGTCATGTGGGGTCTTTCTGAGCATCCTCCTGCCCTCCCACCCCCCACCCTGAGATGACCTCCTTCAGGCAGGGGTCTACATGGGGAATGAAGGGAAAGGTGCCTGTGATCTCTACTTCTCAAAGACAGCTATCCTGGTCCCCTGTAGGTAGAAGTACTCATGCCTGCTCCTGGTCCTTCTGCATGGTAGAAAAGGACCTCCATTTTAAAAAATGCCCAGGAAGAGACTCCCCAACCCAATTAGATGGGAAATGGTTCTGGGAACTATAATGGACCTCACAAACACATGGTCCTTCCGTGAATCCTTTATTTCGTCCACAATTATTTATACAGGGTCTACTTAGTGCCAGGCATATGAGATTGAATCGGAACACCTGGATTCAATTCCTATGTCTGTGACTAATCTGCAGTAAGACCTTTCCTATCTGTGCATATGAAAAACTCATAGCTCCAATATGTACCAGGGGGTGTAGCTATCTGCCACTTCCTGCCAGATGCCCAGAAAGACTGTGAGGGTTGGAGGAGATGGGTCTGTGGTTTCACAGCACAGTCCTGTTTATGAAACACTCCTATGCACGTTCTGACAATCAGCCGTGTTCCTGCCTGGCAGTCTCTGAGTTTTCCGTTTTTCCAGATCTCTCATTTGAATTCTGTCATACCCCAGTTTAAACTCATTTCCTTTTCTTTGGGCGTCAGAAGTAGAAACCAGTATCACAAAATCCAAAACAATTCAGGAGCCAGGCTTCGCTACCAACACACTTTAAAATTCCACCCTTCTTCAGAGGAGGAGAACTGGCTGGAGAAATCTCTCTCAACGACAGCATGTGGAGGATGGCAAGAGCTAACATGGACCATGTTTGCACCCTGTGCAGACCCTGTGCTGAGACCTTTGCTCATGGTACATCACTCAGTCTCTAACAACCCAGTGAGGGCAGTATCCCCAGCCCTGTCAGTGTTCTGCTGCAAAGTCCTCTCCCAGAGCCTCTCAACTCCCCACTTTGGAGCTCATAACTGGGGCTGTGCTGGGAATGTGGACCAACACCTCCAGAGCCTGTGATCCTAACCACTCTGCCCCTACTTCTTCCTCTTCCTGGTCTACTTCCATCTCTACTCATTCTCTTGAAGAGCAAGTACTAGCCCAGATTCAGAGGTACACACAAACCCTTACACTAAAAACCCGGTTGTGTGCACCTGACATAGTCAACCTCCACCTGGCTGGAAGAGAAGGCGATACCTGTGAAACTGGCTTCAAGCCAGACCACAGGTTCTTTTTCTGGGGCAGAAGCTCTATTTCCTGATAGCTGCCTGAGTCATCTGGGGATTCACCCTCCCACCCACAAGCTCCAACAGGTGTCTATACAGTTAATTTGGCACCAGTAAGCTCAAGAACTATGCTCCTTCACTCTCTGGGTAGCCTGGGGCCAATCCCATGGGCCTCAGTTTCCCAGGATCAAGCCTTTCCCCATCTGTGTCTCAGGTTCATTTCAAAGCCTGTCAACAGTGAAGAGCTACACATATGCATTCAAGGTGACACACGGAGCAGTGTCTTGCCGGTCCACATCTGGCCTTTTCTGATGAACCCTTCGGTCTTGGCAGGACAGGAATGGCACCTGCCAGTAGTCTCTGCTGACTCTTCTGTTCTCCACTGCCCAGGCAGCCTTAGTGGAGTCTGTCAATGGCATGCTCTGGCTAGGATAAACAAGGCATCCGGGCCCTGGATGCAGGTTTCATTTACGTCCTCTGTCTCTCTTATTTTAGAAACAGCAAGTAGTGGTCAGGTACAGTGGCTCATGCCTGTAATCCCAGAACTTTGGGAGGCCAAGGCGGGTGGATTGCTTGAGGTCAGGAGTTTGAGACCAGCCTAGCCAACATGGCAAAACCCTGTCTCTACTAAAAATACAAAAATCAGCTGGGCATGGTGGCGCATACCTGTAATCTCAGCTACCCGGGAGGCTGAGGCAGGGGAATTGCTTGAGCTCAGGTGGCAGAGGTTGCAGTGAGCCAAGATTGCACCATTGCACTTCAGCCAGGGCGACGGAGCAAGACTCCGTCTCAATTAAAAAAAAAAAAAAGAAAGAAAAATGCAAGCAGTAACCTACAAGAGAAAAGTACCACCTGTACACTTGTGCTGACATTTGGGGAGCAGAGAAAGCTTATGAGGGAACCTGTGTTATTTCTCCACATTTATCTCCCCCCTACCATTTTAATGTCTGAGCTGATGCCTCCAACATACAGTATGCAAAAAAAAGAGTATTTTCATTTTAGATGCATATGATGGCAAGGAACAATGTGAACAATATTATTTTAGTGCCCTGGGAAAAAATTAGCAAGTCAAATATTGAATCAGGCCTGTAGCACCACATGCTAAGCAGATTGCTTTGATCTTATCCACACTAAAAGCTCTATTATTGAATTTAAAGCTGGTGAACACATATCAGACTAATATACAACGCATGTCTGAATGCATGTTTCAGAAGCCAGAAATGTTTTGACAAAAGGAAGAAAATATTAAAGTTACAGCTGCAATTGAAACACAAATTTGCCCTCCCTTTTCTCTTGAGGCCGGAGGTACTCTTGGCAACCAAAATGTTGTTGCTCCAAAGGACCTTCTGATAGTTCCAGAAACACCTGCTGAGCTTCTATTTTTCCAGAACCAACAAAGAAGGGAATTCTCACCCCCCTACTCAATCTGAAGAAAGGAGTTTGAGACTTTGAGGGTGCACAAGCTATGCATGGTATGGCGCCCTCTGGTGGCCATTTATCTGGGAGGCCTACCTGGTTTCCCAAACTTAAAATAATCCAACCTCCCTTCCTCTTGAGGCTGCTGTGGCAGAAAAAGAAACTTTAAAGAGCCAAAGAAACGGAAGGAAGCAGCTGATCATGAGGGCAGAAATTAACTGATGGCAAGGGAGGGAATGTTAATTTTTCAGCAGGACCCTAAGAGAAAAATAGTTTGGTGTAGTAAACTTCCTATCTAGGATATACTCCTCACAAGCTGTATAGCAAAAGCATATCCAAAGCCAGGTGTCAGCAAGTTACAACTCATAGGTCAAATTCAGCCCCGAAGAACTGCATGAACCTGGGAGGCAGAGGTTGCAGTGAGCCGAGATCATGAAACTGCACTCCAGCCTGGTGCCTGGCGACAAAGCAAGGCTCTGTCTCAAAAAAAAAAAAAAAAAAAAAAAAAAGAAAGAAAAAAAGAAATTCAGCCCCTCTGCCTGTTTTTGTAAAGTCCCAGAGTTAAGAATGGTTTTTACATTTTATTTTTTTGAGACAGGGTTTCGCTTTGTTGTCCAGGCTGGAGTGCAGTGGTGTGATCATGGCTTACTGCAGCCTCAACCTCCTGAGGTCAGGTGATCCTCCCACCTTAGCCTCCCGAGTAGGTGGGGCTGCAGGTGCACTGTGCCAAACTAATTTTTGTTCTTCTTCTTCTTCTTCTTTTTTTTTTTTTTTAAGAGATGAGGTCTGGCTATGTTGCCCAGGCTGGTCTCGAACTCCTGGCCTCAAGAGATCTTCCTGCCTTGGCCTTCTAAAGAGCTGAGATTACAAATGTGAGCCACGATGCCTGGCCTGTAATATTTTGTTATCTGTGAAAATTACATAAACTGCAAATTTTGGTGTCCATAATCAAAGCTTTATTGAAACAGTCCCACTCCTTCATGCATGCACTGCCTGTGGATGCTACCCAGCAGAACTGGGTAGTAGCAGTCAGTTGTATGGGTTGCAAAGATGAAAATATTCATGACTTGGCCCTTTCTAGAGTTTGTCCACCCCAGTCTGAAACAACTGCTACTGTTCACGGGCCTGGACCCCGAGCATCTCGCCCCCTTCCCCCACCCGCCACCCCACTCCAGCCTGATGATGGGCTGAAGCAGTTTGCAAGGCAGGGTGTGTACCTAGAAGAAGGGGGCGTTCCGTTTCAGCACAGCCCCTACACACTTACCATTTTATTATTGATTTCATGGAAATGAATCTCACAGACTTTCTCCACAACATCTTCATTCTCAAAAGTGACAAAGCCAAACCCTAAAGGAAAAGAGAGAAGAAAAAACAGAGAGACGGGGTGAGTTCAGTTCTGGCAGGCCCACAGGTTTCTCTGAAGTCCTGTGGTCTCGACAGCCCCCTGGTCTGGGGGTAGGTGGGCGGATCCTTGGGAGGACCTTGAGGTTGGAGGCAACGATTTTTAATTTGTACCCAGCACCCTTCCGACAGCGAGGAAAAGTTAATGATTTCACCCACTATGCAGCGGGCACTGTGTGGTTTACATCTGCCCCGAAAGCAAACAAGAAATTTACTTGTCTGTTATTTACAAGGGTCAGAGCCCCAAGGCTCGGTGCACCACAGTAGACGGGTGGGCTAACGAGAGCCTCGTGGATCACTGCGGGGCCACGCTTGCCCTTTCCGTGAGCAGCCCTGGCCAGCCCTCGGGTCGGCCTCCAGACGGAGGTGGTTATTTGTCCTTTTCTTCCTGAATTACTTCCTCTAATACCTCATCAGGACATCCTGAGGCCTGGAAGAAACTATTAAAAGTTTCGGGCCTCTGTTCTGTGCAGGCATCCTTTTTCTACGGCTGCTTCAAAAGCGCTGTGGATTTGCGGCAGTTTAAGACTGTTTGATGCCTGCTGTCAGCCCGTCAGCTAGCCACTGTATTTACTCGGCTGGAGACCAGCTTTGCTAGACAAGCGGCACTGAAGAATTTTGGCAGGCGACTGCTGCTCAGTATCCTCAGTTCCTCTCCCTACCCTCCTGCCCCTTTCTTTCTTCTCTTTCCATCCCCGACAGCGTTTCCAGCATGTGGCCCCATCTGTGACCCCAGTCGGTAAGTGCTGCTTTACCACATCGCGCCAAGCAGGGTGGCACCCACCTCGGATGGGATGCAACTGCCACGTGGTAGCACTAACGTGGCGAGGGGCACAGGCAGTGGGGGCAGACGCACAGATGGGGAGACTGAGGCCTGGCTTCCAGTTCTCACTGTGCATCCACTTCACGTTTCATCTGGAGGAGCCCCTTCTGCTCTCTGAGCCTCAGCTTTTGTTCCTGCAAATACCCTGGGTCTCACACCTCCTGTCACAACCCAAATCGGGATTCACAAGGCTGTCTGCTGCAATCTGAATGTTTGTGCCCAATCCTGTTCCCTCAGATTCCTGTTGAAATCTAAACTCCCAACGTGATGGTATTAGAAGTTCAAGTCTTCTCCTTGGCCCTTGGTCCCACTGATAGCTGCAGAGCTGGGAGGTGATGAAGTTGGGAGGATGGGGCCCTCATAAATGGAATTAGTGCCCTTACAGAGTGACAGAGAGCTTGATTTTTCTCTCTACCATGCAAGGATGCAACAGGAAGATGGCTGTTTGTACACAGAAGGCAAGCCCCTCTCAGAACTGACCATGCTGGGACTCCGCTCTTAGACTTCCAGCCTCCAGAACTGTGACAAAGAAACAGTTTTTCATAGACCTCGGTACCTCATTATAGCAGCCCCAACTAAGACACTCTTCTCCCCAAAGGCATGAACCTGGCTGAACACTAAGCCAGACACATCAAGCAGGAAGACAAGAGCTGAACGGCTGTTCGAGCACCCCTTTATTAATGATAACCTGCGTTTCCAGTCAGTGAGTAAAATACAGGGGCTTCCTTTTCAAGCTCTGTGTCTATTTTGGGTCCCTGCAACACAAGATGGAGAGGGAATTTCTCAGGTCTCTCTGACTCTCATGCATCCAACTCTACCACCCCCATCTTCTAAGGAACACCAGGGCACAGGGAGCTGACGTGTGGAGCTCCTATAGCATAGCTCCCGCAGGGACCTGCAGATCTCTTCGGTAAGAGAACAAGAAAGGCCACTCTGTGCTCTCAAACCATTTATATAAAACAGAGGGCCAGGACCACCCCACGCAGCAATCGTTATCTTTGGTATGTCATTCACTACCACACATGAAACACTGGGCTAATGCTCCAGCATACCCAGTCCAGCCCGTTGTAGACACCTAAGGCAGCAGCAGACATACCAAAGAGTGGACAGAAGCATCTGCTGGAGGGCTCGAAGATGGCACGTTTCTCCCAGTGTCACCCATAAGAGCCAGGTTCTCAGCTACCTCAGAGGCCTGAAGCAGGCACCTGACATGCTACAGTGTTTGAAACTGTGGCCCCAAAAAAAAAAACCTTCCACCAGGTTTATGCGGCCCCTTGTCCGCTAACCCGGGTCCTTCGAGAGAAAGCTACCAGGAACACTATCCTATTCCTTCTCTTTGGGTGTCTCCTCCTCCTTGGCCCTTGGTCCCACTGATCGCTGCAGAGCTGGAGAAGAGCCACAGTGACACTGTCGCCCCACGCCACTTCTCTTCGGGCACTCCGTTAAGCACTTTCAGTTTCCTGAGGGCGTTCAGCTCACCCTACTGGGGGATGTCTCAAGAGTTCCGGGTTGGGAAGAGCCTTAAAAACATCAGGTTAAATGGGCGCGGTGGCTCATGCCTATAATCGCAGCACTTTGGGAAGCCGAGGTGGGCGGATCATCTGAGGTGAGGAGTTCAAGACCAGCCTGACCAACATGGAGAAACCCCATCGCTATCAAAAATACAAAATTAGCCCCATGGTGGTGTATGCCTGTAATTGCAGTTACTTGGAGGTTGAGGCAGGAGAATGGCTCAAACCTGGAAGGCGGGGCTTCCAGCCGAGATTGCACCATGGCCATCCAGCCTGGGCAACGAGAGAGAAACTTGGTCACAAAAAAAAAAAAAAAAAAAAAAAAAAAAAAAAAAAAAAACCACATCAGGTTAAAACTCCCACCCAGTCAGACTCCTGAAACACGTAGCCAGGGAATTCATCTTTTTGGTTAATCCCTTTCTCTCCCTGACCCTCCAAGGGCCCAGATCCTAACTGGACCCAGGAGAATGGATTAAGAGCCAGCACCCTTCTGAAATTCCACGGGGGGAGGGGGGCGCACTGCAGAGGCTGCAGATACTGGCCAGCATGACTTCAAGCCAGAGCACCCTGCATGAGGATGGTGCCGGGGTCTTGTTCTCTAAGAGTCCTCAGGACGGAACAGGCCCCTAACATGCACTGAGTGCTGGGTGAATGACTGAATGAGCCATTTCTGCTCCTCCAGGGTCTGAGCATCTTGCTAATCCACTCGAGTCACTGCTCGGCCTCAAGACTGATTCCGCTCTTCCTTCCGCATTTCCCAGCTGCCACCTGCGCTAGGCATTGTGAAGCACACGGAGATCAACAAGGCAATGGCCCTCTGCTTGTACAATTCACGAAGAGGCACGAGTCAGGGAATCCCAAGCAGGGAGAGCCTCTCCCTCCCACCCCTCGCTTCCAGGCTGCGGCACACTCTGGGTCTCATCTGTCTTTGAAGGTCACCCTCTGCCCCGGCCCCCACGCCCAGGCACCCTGCAAATAAAACAGGCCAGGATAGATCAGTTTTTAGGAGATGTCACTGCTAATTAGGACAAATGTAGCAGGTCTAATAGTGGCCCTCCAAACATATATCCACGTCCTAATCCCTGGAATTTATGAATGTGACCTTATTTGGAAAAAGAGCTTTTGCAAATGTAATTTAATTAAGAATCTTGAGAAGAGATTATCCTAGATTTAGGGTGGACCCTAAATCCAATGACAGGTGTCCTTAAAAGAAAAACAGGGGGCCGGCACAGTGGCTCACGCCTGTAATCCCAGCGTCTGGGGAGGCTGAGGTGGGCGAATCATGACATCAAGGGATCGAGACCATCCTGGCCAACATGGTGAAACCCTGTCTCTGTTAAAAATACAAAAATTAGCCGGGTATGGTGGTGCATGCCTGTAGTCCTAGCTACTCAGGAGGCTGAGGCAGGAGAATCATTTGAACTGGGGAGGCAGAGATTGCAGTGAGCCGAGATCATGCCTCTGCACTCCAGCCTGGCTACGGAATGAGACTTCATCTCAACAACGACAACAAAAGAAAACAAAAGGAAAGAAAAGAGAAGAGCGTGAAATGGGATATTTGAGACACAAGAGAAAGACAGAGAAGACAGAAAAGACAGAGGTCGGCAGAAAATAGTACAGCCACAAACCAGGGACTCCTGGAGCTATGAGAAGCCGGCCTTCCAGAACAAGGAACAGCTGTCCCCCAGAACCTCTGGAGGGAGGGCGGCGCTGGCTTCCGGAACTGTGAGGCAAGAAATTTCTATTGTTTTAAGCCACTACGTTTGCGGTAATTTGTTAGATAGCAGCCAGAGAAGACAAATACAGCAAGGTTCTAGGTTTCAGCTGCTCCCACACCCCACACAGGAGGGCCACACATGGCCTCCTCCCGCCAGGCCTGCTGACTCGGCCAATCGTGCTGCTCTGGTCGGAAGACAGGAGAGAGTACAAAACCCATGCTGGCTACGGGGAAAGAACACGAAGTCAGTGCCACCAGTGAAGGGCACTGCTCCACGAGCCAGAGGACAGCCTGGTTTAAAGCCATCTTGCAGCTAGGCACACACACTTGACCCTAGAATACACACCAGGGTAAGTCAAGTCACCATGGCAGGCCATAGCCGAGTCCCCTGCCATGGAAACTGCTTCCCTGCTGCAACCCAACTCCTTCCTGGTCCACTGCGCAGGCCACCTCCATACCCATTCAGGACTCTGACGCCCCAGTCTCCCACTCTGAGATAGGAAGAAAGGCTACTGAGCTAAGAGCCAGGAATTAAAATGCAGACTGTAACACGGGAAGGTCGGAGCAAGACTCAGGGCATCATTTCCAATTCTCACTCTGATATTCTCCCTGCTGGTCCTTTTCCTAACCCCACAGGACTCAAAATTCAAGTACCACAAAAAATGATTTTCCTGATTAAAGGAGATAGCCTGGATTTCTAGCCTATGTACCCTGGATGCATAACAATTCAGCGATGTCAAGACTCATTTGAAGTATTTTAAAGACCTATATCGCTTCAACATCTCTGTCTGTTTCGTCCGAGCAGGGAAAACAAACTTGATTATGTCTAAAATATTAATTTATTCCATTTGAGGAAAGCAAAGAAGAGAACAATTAGCAGTAAGTTGTTATTCCT